CCAAACATGAGTTGTCGATACTATGAAGCTGTCGTCGAGTTCTAGTAGAGTTCTCTGTGATGAACTTTATTAGTTGGTTGCTCACGTAGTCTTCGTCAGTAAACACGACTGTTTGTTTGCAAATCTTCACCAATCGCGGAATTCTTAACATCATTCTATCGAGTAACATTTGACGCAGTAGAGCATATGTTCTATGATTTCAAAGTGAGATGATTTTGCTGAACGCCGCTGCTTTCCTGGAACGCAAACCGTCGATTACACCACTACAAGTTTGCGATTAGTTGAGACAACCGCCAGAGATTATTAGTGTTTTATTATAAACTTAAAACCTCTATTTTTCGAACTTTAATTTTTTTAAATACTTTTTGAAAAAAGGCAGAATGACGGATGAAAAAGGATTGCATTTCCATCATTATATTGAAAACTAATGAAAGTTCGTCAAGCTGTCCTTCTTATTGCTCTCTTTTCTTTTGTCATATTTCCAAGAAAAACAACTATTGCTGATGAGAAATCAATAAAGAAGTATTCCTGTAGTACAGATCTGATAAATCTGTAAAACAGTGGTAGTGTCCTCGCTTACTGTTAGGACATGTATATTTTGTTGCTTCCAAAAACTCCGTTTTTTCTTTTTTTGGAACATCGTTCAACAGATGACAGCACTTAAATGAGCACTCTTAACTGTAATCGGTAGCCCTCCTGGTATCGTACATTAGTGATAAAGAGGCACAAAAGCTAAGAAAACCTATCACAGGGATCATCACAATTTAACGTATTATTTACTGCCTATTCTTTTAACGGCAGGGTATGCATTGTGAAATATAACTTCAATGATGCTGAGATATATGCAAAACTCCGGACCGCAGGTGTATGCGGTGGGGAACGAACGCGCGCTGTTGTCCTTACCGGGGAGCAGCGCACTTCACCACCACGCCATCCGGGTCCTTCGTTTTGCCTGTCTCTCAGCTAGTTCTATCGATCTTTTTGCCATCAGCAATTATAGGGATAATTTGGCTGCTCACTTACTATATGTGTGCCCAGATATTCAAGAGGAGTTGAACAATAGGCATTTCTCAGCATTTGTAGAGCATCTTGTTGATTGTAATTTTCTACTAAGTCCTTATTGTACTAAAAAATTCCTTCAACAGTGAAAATTCTAGGCATTAAAAAAATGGGCGGTGTTTTTTTTCATTGCTCTTAGGAGCATTACAAGTGAAACTCTATAATTCCATGAAAAATAGTCACAGCCGTGGAGGTTTGCTTGAAGAAGACATGTTCAGACGGCTGTGTTAGTTACCATAATTGTTTGATGAAATCCATATCTTCCTGATGAATGTTTCAAGTGTTTTTCCTGTTACACCGTAATCCTGTTCAAGCCACGCCACATTGCCTCACAAAATCTGTCTATATTTGATTTTGCTTGCTACAAATTCTACGGTTGCACCCCACCATAATCTTGCGTGGGGTATTTTTCATATCACATTTTATGAATACACAAGTTCATGCGAGAGCGAGAGAGGGAGAGAAAGTGAGGAAGAGTGAGAGGAAGCAATGTAGAGGGTCTCAAGTAAAACGAATTCTACGACTGGGAAATTCCTCTACCATAACATGGGTGCCTATTCATCCTCAATAAGCCACATCCTAGTGAACGGCGTTTTCACATAAAGACGGACGTTATCCGTAAATTTACTGGAATTGTGAAAAATAACTTCTAGTTTCCCTTCACTTTGATTTGCCTAAATATTACAAGCCACAAATTCGCACACACCTGCCCAGTTTCTTCGTCTAGAAATTCGATCCGGGAGGTATGATGCACTATCACAGCGTTGCTCGTGCATTTGTCGAATTGTGCTGGAATGATTTGTGTTTGTTAAATAAGCTCTAACTTTTATAAATGTTTACTAGAAATGTTTACTAGCTCGTGTAAGTTTTTTTTAGCTCACGTGCAAAGGTAATTTCCTACGATAATCGACGTTTTTCTTACGGCTGACGCAGTTTCGTTTAAGATACGAAAGCTAATTAATTACATCCTGTTTTTTCCGCATAATACAGGTTTATCGGATTCCTTGACTGGATTCGTTTTTGCAGACGTATGACGGCTCTCATGTTCAGGCATTTTGCTTTTCAAAGAGCACCCAGCTCTCGACTTCAGACTATTGTCAGCTTTTCTACTTCCCATGAATGCATCGTAGTCGCAGTGTTTTCGGACGGATTTCAGCGGAATTTGCAGGATGCGACAGCAACTGTTCGCGTCTTCTTTGTTTTGATTTCGCGTCATACTCATCGACTTGTGGGAATCTTCATGACACCAGGACTCATCATATGAGAACATTCTCCATTTTCAATTCGTTTTTTCTTTTTCATATTTGCCACACCTGTTGTCTGGGTCTGTTCTGTTTCTCTGGTCAGTACATACTACGAGAAAATTTGCTATCTTTCTAACATTAGTAGCACAGTAACCGAATCCGCTTTCACATCAGAGCTTATAATTTGTACACAGGTACTGTCGACGACTTGTCATTATTATCATTATTTATTATCACTTGATCCTAAAAGTAGGAAGAAAAGACACTCCTGCTCTGAAGAGGCCAAGAATCACAAAAACCAAAAAGTTCGTGCAAAAAATTAGTTATTCTTCATCAGACCAAGGAAAAAATACTGATTTGTAGAAGGTTAGAAGTAGTGCAGAATTGTAGGCGAAGGTTCATTTCGAGAAATTCTAAGGAACTGTGGGCTAAGGTGCATTTTGAGAAGTGGCTGTTCTATGGATTTTATTAACATTATTCGATTAGTGCAATGTGTAACAGTACTTTACAGCTGTTGCCTACTCAACAGGTAATTTAGGTAGCAGATCCAAGAGAGGAGAGAGAAAGAAAGGAAGAAATAACCTAACATTTACAAAAAAGAGGAAAAAACGATTGTTATTTGGCGATGATTGGCGATGAAAAGTGTCACCATAAAGAGAGGGGCTCTTTTGAAAATGGGATGCGAAATTTCAAGTTACTATAAACTTTAAACTCTAAGGTTTACCTGTCCAGTAGTCTGCTTGCAATTGTAAGCTACACATGTTTTCTTCGGTGCAACTCATTGTTTTGTTTTTTCACGCTGACTATTTTGCACTAAAAATCAGTGCTCTATGTGGACACACTGTTGAAAATTTTCTCAATGGCATAGCTTTCCAAGAATTTAATTTTATCCAGATGTAAGCGCTTGCATTCTTTACTCATTCTTTTCTCCCATTATGATCCACTATAATGAAGCGGGAAATAGAGCCGTATCGCTTTATAAAACTTCATGTGAACTAAGGTCAAATCCCAACTTGTCTTCACATGTGCATCTCTGTTCCTTTCATGGATACGATATGTATTCACGACTTACTAGTTTGATTGATGGGTGCGCAGTGCATGTTTGTACTAAGGGCCAGGCCACAACGAAGTGATCGACTTCAGATAGATGAAGAGTTCGTTAGTCTATACAAGTGACCGCAACTAGTCGAAACGGAACCCATGTTACATCAAATTATATAGGTCACTGCTCCAAATTACTTTCTCTAACAGCATTCTTAGGTTTTGCTGGTCTTACAACTTTATCCGTAACCTTTGTTGCCTTACAACAGTTATACATGGAGATGGTTTGTTTCGACTGCTTGTCCCGTTACAACATAGGAATCAATATGCTATTCTCTTTGTTGATGTGTTGAATGCTCGCCGAAATTTTGATTTTCTCTAAGGGCGCGAAATAACCGAACTAAGGCGTTATTAGCTCTCTCTCTCTCTCTCACTACAAACAGTTGTCACTCTTTGTGAATCGGAATGTGGCTTGCTGCTTTGCGACTCAAATTCCTTTTACATGGCAGCAATCCGTGTGACGACAGAAAATCTTCGAGGTTGATGTAATAAACCAAAGCTGCTGCTTCATCGAAAAAACAACATGGAACAAATGTGAAACGAGTCAAAGGCAATTGTAACAGAATGGACAAGGAATAAAAGAACACGTAAATAACTTAAAATATTGATGTTCTGCGCTAATCAAGCTAATTTTACACCATCCTGCTAACCCAGAAAAAAATTCATACTTTAAAGAATAGACCTCATACTTTGTAGATGCCTGCTTTTTTACAATGTAGTGTTTAATAGCTGTTTAGAAATACGTTATGATTGATTTGTTCAATGGCTTTTACTACCAATTTATTGACTACAAATGAACTGTTCCGAAAACTGTTTTTCATTTTTCTTCTTTGGCAAAGAAGAAGAACGTTTTTATTCCTGTCAAGTGAAAATAGAAAAGTGAAGTCCGCGTTCTGCAGGAGCTCGAAACTTTACGAATTTGCTGAGGGCTTTTTTGTTGGCACGGCATTCGTCAACTACTGAATTAAATTTCGGGGCGAGTACATGCGTTGTGTCCTAGTAGGAATTTTCTTAGCATTTACGTCGCCTTTTACAAGGTTTCGTGAAACGGCCGTTGTCATTGCTGAATGCCGAATGATATTCACTCTCGTCTCGCAGTGCACAGCCCCTCGTCAAGTGGGCGGTCCAGAAACCGTCGACGAGCCTGCGGATACAAGCAGGGCTCATTAGAATCCAAAAGATCATATTTCGCAACGAGATTCATACGATGAGATGATTAAAACGATCCGCACACGTCATATAAGTGCTGGAAAATGGTATTCGCTCTAGTTCAAACCATTCTGTATATGTAAACATATATATAAATATATATATGTGTGTCTGTGTTCGTGTATGTGTACTCATATATATGTATGCGCATGTACACATATATCTTTGTTGGTGCTGTATGTATATGTATAATTGTATATGTGTATGTATAGGAATATGGGTTTATGTTTCTACGTATATGTTCATATGTGTATGTGTTCTATCGTCAGCTATTCACAACAACTATTTATAGTAACACCAAAGATGTAATACGAGTATCGCGGAAGTTTCATGGCTACCTTGGTTTCCGAGATTATCACGTTTCAGGCACTTTTGATTTGTGGCCTTATGTTTTCAATCCTCGCCTTGGCAACACATATACTAGCAAATGTCACTGAAGCTGCCAAGGTGCGGCAATTGAACGAGCGTCGAATTTTTTCTTTTTTTAAATTTCATACTGCAGTATCTCAGCCAGTTTATGAGTCAAATGCTTGCAGATTGTCGACAGCAGTGACCTTGCTCCGTCAAACAAGGTTAATTTGTTCACCATTCTGCGCCGAGTTCTTTTTTGGTCCATCCCTTAAATTGGAGGAGAAGTTGTTATCATTTGTGACCTCTTAAATTCTCTTGTTATGTTAGCTTAAGAAAGAATGTGGCAGTTGTTTAGACATATCTGCACCTGAAATGTACGTAAAGGTCATTAGAGGAAGCAAAAATATCCACTGACATCTTTGTCGGCTCAGGTTCGTCAGATTCGAATAGCAGGGGATTTGATGTTGGGTGGAGTGTTTCCGGTTCACACAAAGTCACAAAATCCCGACGAACCATGTGGAGAAATCGCCGAAACACGGTAGAAACTTTCTATACCATTCATGAGCCATCACTTTTAGGAATTATGTTCAAGTAGATATGCTTGCAGAGGAGTTCATCGAGTTGAAGCTATGCTATATGCTTTAGATCAGATCAATGCTCAAAAAGATTTTTTGCGCGGGTATAAACTGGTTAGTTAAAATTCTGCTGCAAATGCTTCCAATTTTTTTACCGGTTCATTGCTAATCGAACATTTTTATTAAGGGAGCTTTGATCCTCGATTCTTGCTCGAGTCCGGCCTACGCCTTAAATCAAAGTTTAGAATTTGTTCGTGATATGATTGGTTCCTCAGAAGCTTCCGATTATGTTTGCAGGTTTGTCCTTCAAGGATGAATACCACAATTCCTAATATTAATATGAAATAAACCTAATACTTTTTTAAATAGTGACGGAAGCGATCCATATCCTAAGAGCCCTAGTAAAAAGAAAAACGTGGTGGCCGTAGTTGGAGCGAGCTATAGCTCAGTTACCGTACAGGTAATACAAACCAAGGATACATTCTGAATTTTCCCCATTAGATTGCATGAAAAACAACGGTTTCAGGTAGCAAATTTACTAAGATTATTTCGAATAGTACAAGTAAGCCCAGCTAGCACAAATGCGGATCTTTCGGATAAAAACCGATTCGAATACTTTGCAAGGTTAACTGACTCTTTTGGAAGACCCTGTTGCGTTTAAATCTATGGAGCCATTGTATTTTTAGAACTGTACCATCAGATGACTATCAAGCAATGGCAATGGTTGAGATTGCTATCCGATTTAAATGGACATATGTCTCCCTTGTGTATTCCGCAGATGAATATGGAGAATTAGGTACTAATGCAAATCTGTGAAAAAGTGTAAGCGAAGTTTTCCGTGAGAACCTTCGAATTTGCTCAGGCGCCGATGCGTTCAAGAAAGAAGCTCGCAAAAAGGGTATATGTATAGCGATCGAGGAACGTATTCAGAATAAGAAGGAGAGTTTTGAAGAATCCATTGACAATCTCGTTAAGAAGTTAGTAGACGGTGCTAAAGATTTTTTGTTTTATCTTTTTAAATGCTGTCAACAATCATAGATGACAATTTTTGGTAAAGTAAGACCGTAATTGCTCTACAGAATGCAACCGGACAAGAAAGTCGGCGCAAGGGTGGTAGTGTTGTTCGTTGGAACTGAATACGTTCCGGAATTACTGAAGCACACTGCCGAACGTATGAAACTCTCAGCTGGTTACAAGAAGAAGAAAATCATCTGGTATGACCCCTGCACCGACATTTATTCGATATGTGCAATAATTGAACTCGCTTCAACTAAAACATTAGACTCGTTTTCGCGATGAACAATTACTGGTTCTCCTTACTCTCATACCAGTATGAAAACAATGAAATTATCCTCTCATGGGAAGTAGAAATAATTTCCAGTCAAAATGCTGACGACTCCTCTTGTTGTTCATATAGCGCTAACCATCAGAACGACTTGATGTTTGATGTTTGGTACAATATGGCTTCCTTTGTCGACGTAAAACATTTTTTTACATCTTGAGTAACTTCATATTGACTTTGCTGTATTATCCCAAGTTTTATATAGTTTTTGCAAGATACTTTTTCAGTGCTAAACGTTTTTAAATTGAAGGTTCGACGAAGTTGAAAGCAGCACTGAAATTACTAAAAAGTCCAGTGCTGGATCGGCAGCTTAAAGTACTGGCGATCCACTGGGAAACAACACTGGCCTTAACGTTAAAAGAAAAAAAGTTTCACCGTTTTTAGAAAATAGGGATTTTATCTTTGTAGAACAAAAAAAGTCACCTCTAGTACGTAAATATCTTCAGGTTTAAATAGCTTCTTAGTTCCAAGTAATAAATTTGAATATTACGGAGAGATAAATGCTTGGAGCTGAAAGCAGTTATCACTTTGGCACCGAATGCACTGTTCTGGATGCGTGTCGGGTGTTGACCGTTGAGAGCCACTATACGCCTCAGAATTTTTCCCTTTCATTTTCACTTTTTCTCATTTACATGCAAACGAATTAGAATAATGTCCTGTACAGGTTAGCGTCAGAGAGTTGGGATCGGAACAATGAGAAGTACATGATCGGACAGAACAAGCTTGCTGCTCAGGGTGCTCTCGTGTTGATGCTGGCATCGCAAAAAGTTCCTTCTTTTGATGAGGTGACTTGCATTCAACCAATCTTGGTCCTAAATCACAATCATAAAATCCATTATAGCTACCCTATGAACCCAGTGCAGTCATTTTCGTAGTGCGAGCCAAGTTTCATATCTTTTTTCTAGAAAATAAACCGAATCGTATTTTGCTGTTCCACTCTTTCGTATGAAAATCCCTCATTATTTAGATTTCCCTCTTTTTAAACTTGTCTAAATTTTCATCAAATAGGTAAATGTGACAGAACATTGAATACATTTGCCATCTTCCATACCAGTTGAATTCCGTTTTCCTTCTATGAAACTCTTTCTTTCCTTTGCAAGCAGTACAAAAGCTAAATTTAGTTGAATGAAAAGCGATAAAAATGTAGCTACAAAGAATTTTAAAGAATTTTGAATGCCACAGATCTAATATACTATCACTGAATTCTCAATACTGTTAATAGATGGCTGTTGCGCAGTCAACAATTTTCAACAAAATCTCCTAACAAATAACTCATACTGAAAATATTTTCAGTATTTGTTGTCGTTACGTCCAGGAACGGAAAAATTTGAACGTAATAAATGGCTTCGAGAGCTTTGGAGATCGAAGTACAAGTGCGATTTCGACTTACCACCGGAATCAACAGAAAATCGGTGAGAAACGAGGGAGGAGCACATTTGAATAAGATAATGGTAGTTTGTGCGTTAGGCCATCTCCATTGTTTTCTAATTTTATGTTATCCACTTATACATCGTTCTACCTCTTATTTTGTCATATGTGGAGCTTTAACTAGTCGATGAAAAAAGCGATTTAATTAAGCATTCATCATTCCTTTAGGAGTATGCCATGCATTCGGCTTCATCAGTTACCGTAAAGGTGAATAATGATTACGTAGTCTATTTATTGAGTCGTAATGGTCCACCGATGTGTGAATGCAGTGTTTCTATGTTTACATACCACCTTAATACTAGTTTGCTGAGCCTGAAGTAATGGAAGTCTTGATTAGCTTTGGACGCGCGTTCAACGACCGATCCTTGTTATTTCTATAGCAATTCAATGTTTGCACTTGTTAGTGTCAAATACGTTCTTCCCACGAACAACTGATTAATGGAGTGCTTGACGACTCAAATTATTCACAAACCATAATCTCCCACATATTGTGACAATTCGCTGAGAAAGGATTAGTTCATGTGGTTTGTGGCTCTGCAGTGCCATAAGTGGGGAATCATGCTAAAATCATCAAAATAAACATTAGCCTGTAGGGGGTTTTGTCAGAACCTATCATAACTATTACATAAAGTTTCAGATGTGAAGATGCAAGACAAACAAGTGATAATTTTCATTCCGATGATAAAGTTCAGTTTGTCATTGATGCTGTCTATGCCATTGCTCATGCCTTACAGGTAAATCGTTATCGAAGAAGTATTTAGACCTTCATTGTCTGTAATCTTAAAAAAGCTACATTTTGATAACGCGAAAATTTTATATTTTCTCTAAAAAAGAATTTTTATTGTATTTTGTAGGCAATGAAGACTGCAGTCTGTCCGGATGACGTCATCGAAAGCTCGTGGATTTCACGGTATTCTAAGAAACCAGATATTTGTCATGCTATGCAAAACATTGATGGAGAAGAATTCTACCAAAAATACCTTCTTAAAGTTCGATTTCAAGGTAAGTTATGTATTACTGTCTATGTTACAGAAATAATACGAGCACATCCCTCTAATATAATGACGATTTCATTTATTACCTACTTATTTTTTCAACGTCTTTGTCATTTCACGTTAATAATTCGTTCTCGTTGTTTTTTCTTTCCTTTTTCCTTCGTCATTCCTCATTCATTCTTCATTCCATTTCTTGCTCTCACAAAATTCTTCATAATGTTATAAGTACACTTTGTGTATAAACGCTTTTATACCTTCATTACTAGGCTTTTCTACAAGTTCGTCGTTTAACGTAGACAGCGTGTTTCTCCTTCCTTTTTCTTTTCTCTTCCTTTTTTTGTTATCTGGCTCCTGCTTACATAACCCTGCAATTTTTCAGACATCGTCGGAAAAAATTTCAGATTTTCACCTCAAGGTGATGGACCAGCCAGCTATACAATATTAACCTACAAACCAAAATCTCTAGGTAATAATTCAAGCATTGAAAATACGAGAAGTATTTATCAATTGGTTTTCTGATTGTTTCACAATAGATGCTGTGTTTTCCTATCTAATTCCCCATAGAAATGTTAATCCTAATTTCTTAACTTCTTTAACTAACTCTGCTATAAAAATAAAACGTGGAAAAATATGGACAGAACCACCATTCATTTGGATATTAGCGCATGCATCTCTTAACCAAGCTCAGTAAGGTGTGAAACCAGAGATTAAGCGTCTAATGCACGGCATGTCTAAACTGCGCTTCCCATAACCACATGTTACACTAGCAGTGGAAATTTGGTTTTGACGACGTGAATGTGTCGACGGTGTAGCCCGTCATCTTGAGAGAGGATGTGAGAAGTACTACTCGATTGCCAGTTTCGGGAACGGAATTCGATCACGACACTGAAGAGTGTCACTAGTTAGCATATTCTTCATTTTAAAACTCCCAGTATACACAGATTCTCTCAGATCAATCCACTCAGATCCACCATTTGTCTACATTTTGTTTCGTACATTCTCAAAAGTTTGTAGCGCTCAGAAATGCTTATGTTTAAGACAAAAAACGCCGTGTTCTTGATGGCTACCAGAGCGATGGATCGGACTATGTGGAAATCGGACACTGGTCGGAAAACAATGTGAGATATTTTTTAGCAAATAAAAACGCTGCAATAGCAACTCAGTTTCTGGTCGAGAGCTACCGAAAACCATTTTGTGAAGTTATTTAGCATTTGTCACATAGATGCCAGCATTCATATGCCGATATCGTTTCGTGACTAAAGCGCATTTTCTAGCTAACAGTTGATGAGGAAGAACTCTGGTGGACTGGCATAGAACAAATGCCGTTGTCAGTCTGTTCGCTGGAATGTCGAACTGGATACAGAAAACAAATGATCAAGGTTTCTAGTAAATTCAGTATACGAAAACTCATCATCAATATGCAGAGAACGAAGTTAGAGAAGAATGGTGGGGAAGTTCCGATCGTTGAACAGTTTCAAACATCATTTTCTAATGAAATCTCACTGCATGTGGCAATCGACCTACTTATGAAGCTAAGTATGACCTCATTCCAAATATGATTATGCGATATTGCTTATGGATTTTAGATGTAATCACATATTCGAACAACAGGTTTTCAGAAAAATCATCCAAGTATAAGATATGTTCTAGTGTAATCATATGAAAAATACGGATATACGTAATTGAGTACGACGAATAGTCTATAATGGTAACTAAATTGAGGTTCCTACAAAGCATTTCAGGATGAACAGTGCTGTTGGGCTTGCAGTAAATGCGAAGACTACGAGTACTTAGTAAACGAGACATATTGTGCAGCGTGTGAGCTTGGATGGTTAGTTTTTCACAATTTTTTCTTAGAAATATTTTCCTTGAACAACTTAGGGTCCAATCTTACTCTTTTTATTTACTGCCTATTCTTTTTAACGGCAGGGTATGTTGCTAAATATAACTTCAATGATGCTGAGATATTTGCAAAACTCCGGACCACAGATGTATGCGGTGGGGAACTCTATCAATCCCGCTGACTGGTGATTGCTGATGGCACTGATCGATAGAACTAGCTGAGAGACAGGCAAAACGAAGGACCCGCATGGTGTTGTGGTGAACGCGTTGGCCCCAGAAAGAGTAATAGCGCGTTCGTTCCCCACGGCAGAAACCTGCGGTGCGGAGTTTTGCAAATATCTCAGCATCACTGAAGTTAGAGTTCAATGATTTTTTATTTTTTGCTTGCATGATAAAGCTACGCTGTTTTTTTTGTATTAATACTTTTCTTCCTTGCATAACAACTACTGTTCACCTTTATTCTCTTTTCTTTGCATTTTCGCTGTATATATATATATATTCTATTTCTATTTAGAATAGAAGGTAAAGAGGTAAAGAAGGTAAATAGAAGGTTTTGCCTAACCGATATCGCTGGCGGAAAGGAGAAAAAGCCGCTAAATTCCAAAAACGATGTCGCAGAACCATCGCAAACTGGGACCTATTCAATTCGTTAATCGGCTGTTGGGAAGATGCCGTTGTCGATAACATCGACGAAGAATACTATCCGCTCATTCAACATCTTCACGCCAGTGCTATGAAAGCTGAGAGTTCGAAAGTCATCAAGGGACGTTTGTCTCCAGAAACACTCGAGCTGATACGCCAGCGTTGAATTGCACGAGCTGCAGGCAATCGCGAACTAACGTCCGAACTTGCAAAGCAATGCGGAGAGGCGATAAAAGAAGATCTTAGAGAGGGAAGAGCAGCAGTAAAGGCCGAAGCTGTAGAGTCTGAAAAAAGCATTCGCAATACCCACCGAAGCTTCGCCAATTACAAGACCAAAATGGTTGCTCTCTGGTGCCCAGAAGAAACAGTTACAGCGTCCAGAAAGGCAATGGAGAAAATCATTCACGAATACTACTCGGATCTCTTCGATAGCCATGTCCACCTTCCGTTACATGAAATAAAGGAGAATGGATATGTAGTACCACGGTTCTCCCTTCCGAAATCCGACATGCCATCACGTCGGTGAAAAATCGAACAGCACCAAGTCTGGACAGGATAAGACCGGAACACCTGAAGAACCTTCCGCCACCCCTCGTAAACGCACTGGCTCGGTTCTTCATACGTTACCTGTCTGAATGCAAGGTCCCTACTCAGTGAAAGACCAGCAAGACCGTGTTACTGTTCAAGAAGGGTGACCTACACGACGTCGGCAACTATCGCCCAATCTGCTTACTGTCTGCCGTCTACAAGCTTTTCACTTGAGTCATCCTAAACAGGATTGACAGAGCACTAAACGAAGGGCAGCCATGTGAGCAAGCAGGGTTTCGAAAAGGATTCAGTACGATGGACCACATCAACATGGTAACAAGGCTCACTGAGGTATCGCAAGAGTACAGAAGACCGCTATGTCTCACTTTCATCGATTTTATAACACCAAACAATATCCTAGCGGAGCGTAATCTTGACGACTTTGATAAAGCCTGTGGAAAGATTGGTCTTCGACTAAATCTCACAAAAACGATGTTTACGAAAAACGGATTTGTGTCGCATGCTCCATTCACGCTTAACGGAACGAATATCTCCGAATGCTCCAGTTATATCTATTTAGGTTAGAAAATCAACATGATGGGCGACCTAGCTCCAGAACTGAGCAGAAAGAAGCGAGCAGCTTGGAAAGCTTTCAAGAGCATTGAGGAAGTAGTGAAAAGAAAAAAGAACACCCAACTCCGTGCCCACCTTTCCGACTTAACGGTACTTCTTGCCCTAACGTATGCGTCAGAAACCTGGTCGCTGCGCAAGCAGGATGAAAGGTCTCACAGCGTTATCGAACGCGCAGTCGAAAGGACGATGCTAGGAGTATCCCGTTCCACACAACTAAGGGATGGGATCCGAAGCTCCGATTTGCGTCAACGATCAAAAATCAAGGATGCCGTTCTGCACGCCAAACAGTCGAAGATAAGCTGGGTCGTATACCTAATGCGTGTGATTGACAACCTATGGAGAAGAGCCATTAGTGACTGGATTTCTCGGGATTTCAAACGTACTGCAGAAAGACCACCGACCCGATGGCCAGAGTTTTTCACAAAAAGCCTTGAAAAAAGATATGATGCTCGACGAGTCCCTAGAGCGAGAAGAATCTACTGGGCTACCCTTGCACGCGACAGGGAAAAATGGAAGATTCACTGGCGGCCGCTTCAGTCACTCGCCGATCAGCAGGACTACAGGTGATGCAGGTGACATGCACGTTGGCCCGTGGAAAATGCTTGGAGCGAAGCGCCGTTGAAAAACACAGAAATAAATAAAAATTCCCGCGATTAGTCGACCGACAGCTCGACAATGATTCGATCAGCCGAGTGCATGATAATGAGATTTCTGGAGTGGGGACTCCATGGCTTATAAAAGCAAATCTCAGCGAGTGTGGTTGATTATTTTGGGTTTCATGTCCGAAATGACGGGCAGTGTGGAAAATGAAGAAAAAGTCACTTCATCTGCCAATCAACAACCGAACGCGAGACCTGCTACAGAGGCGAGCGTTACTTCATCTTCGGACCGATTCCACAGGGAGCACCGAAGCACGTTGGTCCAACCACCAAAGCGGCTTCCACAAGAAAAAGGTGCATCAGAGTTCCTGATATTCCGGAGCAGATATTCGTCGCGCGGTTGGTGCATGTGAAACGTCTGTGGAACGAGTTATACGAGCAATAGGGGCATTTTAGCGAGCACTTCGTGGGTGGCGTCGCAGGACGATGCTCCCATGTGGCCGAAACCTACGTGACTTGCATGGCTATATAGACAAGTACTAAAAGTTTTGTGCAACGGAATATGCCATCTGCATTACCTATTCTGTTCATTTAGAAGTAATGAACAAAAATTTGTGTTTATAAGATTGCCTACGAAGTAGCAAATTACATAATTCTCAAGCCAAAAAAGAATGGACAGCTCATCCATCATCTAAGCTGATAGGACTTCTCATTCTGGCAGTGCAGAGAACCTTTAAGTGCTTCTCCACCCATTCTATTAAAATGCTAGGAGCATCCCGTTTCACACAAATGAGGGATGGAATCCGAAACTCCGACCTGCGTGGGCGATCAAAAATCAAAGATGTCTTTTTGTACACCAAACGACTGAACATTAGATGGTAGGCTGGACACGCAGTGTGTATGAATGACAATCGATGAACAAAAGCCGTTAGTGACTGGATTCCTCGCGATGTCAAACGTACTGCAGGACGACCACCGACCCGATTGTCAGAGTTCTTCACAAAGAGCCTTGAA